CTAATATACTTCAAAAAAAGGATGATGGGCCTCCATATGGAGTTTGCTTTCATTGTTGCAAAAATTAGCCACTGGGCCCTTCCCTTGACTGCTGACAGCATTCTGTCTAAATAGGACAAGCAGGATATAAAAGGTGACTGCCAAACTTTGCTGAGGCAAGATAGGACAGTCCTTCAAAATCCCTGCTTCACAGAAAAGTCTGTCAGATATTATAGAACTATAGGCCGAAGATAGATGCCCCAATGTTGCAGAGGAACTCTGGGTGAATTTCCAGGGAGCCAGATGTTTCTGTCATTTCTATAATTTTGGAAGTTGCTTGTGCTGCACTTCCTGTTTACTATTATAACCTCCTTAGGTCTTTAATGTGGTTGAAAACTAGACACTTACAGTTTTCCTTGTGACCAAGTTCAGAAAAGAAACTCACAAAAGAGGTAAACAGTTTGTGTGTGTGTGTGTGTGTGTGTGTGTGTATTTACATACATATATATATATGCATACATATATGTGGTTGAGAGACATAAAAGCTTAAGTTATTTACCTAAGAAAATGTTTCAAGGTATAAAAAGATATTTTTAGATAATAATACAAGTTATGATAGAATGTGGTTTAGGTATAAAACTTTGGACTCATCAAGATAGCATAGATATAGAGTAATTTTCTCCAAATTTGCCAAATACAAATGAACTAGACATTGTTAATGAAATTCTTACCTGACAATTGTTCTTATTTTATATAGGTTTACTATGTTAGTATTGAAACCTTTCCTTCTTATTTAGACAATACCTGATAATTGTTCTTATTGTATACAGTTTTACTATGTTAGAGATAAAATATTTCCTTTCTAATTAGACAAAAAGGGGGAAATGTTGTGGAATATTTGTTTTACATTTTAAAGAGATGTTTCTGCCTAAGGCACCTTCTGGTTGGTTTAACAAAGAGCTGAATGTCCAATAGATAGGCAGGACAGAATAGGAGAGAGTTTCAGACAGAGAGAGAAACTGGGAGGAAGAATCTAGGCACACAGATTTGCCAGCAAGACATGGAGATGAAATAGAAAGTTCAGGATGGAAGAAAGGTAACACCACATGGCAGAATGTAGATTAATATAAGTGGGTTATAAGATTAATATAAGTGGGTTATAAGAGCTAACTGAGAACAAGCCTAAGCTAAGGAGGAGCTTTCATAATTAGTAAGTCTCCATGTCATTATTTGTGAGCTGGTGGCTCAAAGAAAAGCCTGACTACAAGAAGCAATAAACTTCCAGCTCTCAAGGCTTGGAGCCTAGGCCTTGGGGTCTGACAGTCCAGCTCCACACTGTGGCCACTCGAGGTCCCAGGACTATCAGCTGTGGAAGAGCTTTTCCTTGCCTGCCCACCTATGCAGGTGAACAAAAGGACCTGAGCCAGCTGTTGGTAACAGTTGGATATGAAAGACCAGAGAATACGATGAGAGATGAGCTGAGGAAGAGGGCTAGAGGTTGGATCTTTGCTGAGCACTTGGGATTTACCAAATAAAACCACAGCACACTAAATCCACTTTAATTAAAGAAAACTACTCATCATCTAGAATCAAAGTGTAAGTGGACAGTTTATATCTATTTGGCAACATCTATTTGGCAACCTTTCTGGTAGTAGGTCAGGGTAAGAATTTGACTGAGCTCATCTTGACAACAAGGTGTTGAAGTCATAAGCAGGGAGTTCAGAATCTCACTAGATGAGATTGGGCGTGCTCAGGGTGGTATAGCAGTAGACAAATAATCATATTAGAATTCTGCAAAGACCCTACTGGCTACAGGTTGCTCAGCAATGCACAAAGAGGCAGGGAGCCCAGAAAGCAGGGGCCACATGAAAGAAGGGGCTTGGGGCCGGCAAAATGGCTTGACGGGTAAAGGAGCTTGCCACCAAGACTGCAACCTGAGTTTGATCCCTAGAACCCACAGGGTAGAAGGAGAGGACTGACTCCCACAAGTTATCCTCCGGACTCCATCCATACACACACCATGGCACAGGTATACCCATCACATACACACGTGTACACACAAAATAAATAGATAAATGTAATAAAATAAGAGAAGGAAGAGGAGGAAAATCCGACTGAGGCTGCAGCATGGGTTGAAGATACAGAAAAATATGGCAAAAGAAGCCAACCACAAAAGGACAAAAATGCAATTCTACTTAACAGGAAGGATTTACAGAAGTGGACTTTACAGAGACAGGAAGAAGTAGAGGGGGCTCCAGGGACTGAGTGAGAAGGTAAAGAAGTGAAGACTTGCTATGTTTGAGAAGACAAAAAAATGTGCCACAACTGGATGGTGGTGATAGCTACAAAAATATGTAAATGCAGTGAACGACACAGAGCTGCACATCAAGAAAATTATTAAAATGCTGTATGTCGTTATGTTCGTGTCTTAGGGCTTCTATTTCTGGGAAGAGACACCATGACCACAGTAACTCTTGTAAAGGAAACGTGTAATTGGGGCAGCTCACTTAGAGTTTCTGAAGTCCAGTCCATTATCATAATGATGGCTGCATACAGGCAGACACAGTGCTGGAGCTGAGTGCACTACATCTTGCAGGAAGTAGACTGACTGTCACAGTGAGGGAAGCTTGAGCAAGAGAGACCTCAAGCCCGCCCCCACAGTGACACACTTTCTCCAACAAGGCCACGCCTCCTAATAGTGCCACTCCTTTGGGGGACCACTTTCTTTCAAACCACCACAGCTTATTTTCCCACTGTAAGAGATTTCTAGATACAGCCACAGGGTTTTGGCATCTTTGGTAGAACCTTAGCATTAGCAAAGGTCACACTTCATAGAATGATGTAAGATCTTAGATTCTTCTCTCTCCAATTCTTCCTGGAAAGAAACTATCTTCAGAGGCACCTGCCCGAATTCTGATAGTATTCCCCTCGTAGCTGTGGTCTGACGCCATAACTGAAAAGCACACCTCAGACATGTTACCTTATTTAAGATGTAGCTGGGTAGTGGGGGGCACACACCTTTAATCCCAGTACTCAGGAGGCAGAAGCAGGAGGATCTCTGTGAGTTCGAGACCAGCCTGGTCTACAAAGCTACACAGAGAAACCCTGTCTTGAAAAAACAAAACAAAAAGATCCACCATTCCACCATGTTTCAAGCAATGCAGTCAGTAGCATCTTACTCTTGGCACAAGGGTTCCTATATAAATATTCAATAGTGCTGTTGAGCTGACTCAGAAGTTAAGACTGTTTGTTACTCTTGCAGAGGACTTTGGTTCAATTCCCAGCACCATATGGTGACTAACAGCCATCTGTAACTCCAGTTCTAGAGGATCTGACATGTTCTTCTGGCCTTTGAGAGTACCAAACACTTCCTTGATGCACAGACCTATTTGCATGCAAAACATCCATACATACCAAGTAAAAAGTAAAAATTTTTAAAATGCCATTTTTTGGACTTGGTTGTGTTTTGTTTGTTTGTTTTTGTTTTTTGACACATGGTTTCTCTTTGTAGCCCTAGTTGTTGAGAAACTAATTCTGTAAACCGAATTCACAGAGATCCACCTACCTCTGATTCCCAAGTGCTGGGATTAAAGGCATGTGCCACTACCACCCAGCATAAACTGCAATTTTTTAAGAAGGAATTAAATATTTCTTCAAGACAATTGTGAAGGTACAGAACTCTTATCCCAGCAAATGAGAGAATGAGGCAGAGAAATGGAGGCTAGCCTGGGACTACATGATAAGTTCTAAGCCATCTTGGCTATGTAGGAAGATTTTGTGTCAAAACTAAAACAAACAAGGGCTTGGTTATATATAGACTACAACGTAAACTCCAGGCCAGTCTGTGCTATAGAATACACCCTATTTCAAACAAAACAGAACAGAACCATGTATTGTAAGTATGTGTGTGTGTTTATGTATACAGTGTATTAACAATTTGCTCAAATTAAAATAGCTCCTCTGAATATTCCCTAGGAGGGAGGGAGGATGCAGGAGGCCCCAGAGACTCAGAAAATAAAAACTTAAACGTCTAAGCAAGCTGAAATCTGTAAGATTGACAAGCACCATCCCTAGAGTTACACAAGCAGCAAACTGACCAGTCTAGCTGCCTGTACCCGAGAGGCAGGGAGATCCAAGGATGAAACTTTCCTGATTCTTCGCCCATGCTTGGGTGAAAGGAAGCCTGGGCAAAGTTAGCACAGAGCACTTCTGATTTCACTTCGTGACAGCTGCTCCCAGTAGCCCAGGCTGGCCTCCACCTATTAGTTATCCTGCCTCAGCTTCGCAAGGGCTGAGCATACCCTGCTAGATTTCGTTCCGTTTTGTTAAGATAGCCTTGTCTGGATAGCTATGGTTATCATGGAATTCTATGTAGACTAAGCTGACCTCGAAAATTCGGGAGTGCTGGGATAAAAGGAGTGAGCCACCACACCCGGCTACATTTCTTTTCTTTCTTTCTTTTTTTTTTTTTTAATCAAAGGAGTTGAGAATTCTGATAATCTGGAAGAAACGTCCCCACGGATGCCAAAACAACAGGAAAAATAAACACCCACGAATTAGACATCTCTGGAGAATTCTTGAGCAAGCACCTAGATTAGGCGTTTAGAAACAGCACCTTGAGAGTCTGCAAGTTAATTTCTGTATTCCTCTGGCAATGATGTGATAGGATTTCCTTGAGTTCACTTAGTATATTTTAAAAATCTGTGTATTGATACCAGGCCACTTTCTAAGCTCATCCTTCAGCTTCCATTAGCTGACTGGCAGGGAGGCGGACGCACATTTCCGCCTGGTGTATCTGATCCGGGACTCCAGGAGGCGTGGCCTTGAGAGCGGAGCTTTGGCACGAGGTCCAGGCTCCACCCACCGGGCGGCGTTCGGCTGTTTCCCGTCCCGTCCGCCAGGGGTCGCGGTTCCGCTCGAGCCGATTTTTTTTTCCCCTTTGGCGAGAGCCCACCTCTTTGGTGTCTTTGGCTCTCGCGAGAGGGAGCGCACAGCCTGCTGGGAGGGATGCCCTGGCTGTAAGCCAGCCCAAAATGGCAGCGCTGGAAGAGGAGTTCACGTTGTCTACTGGAGTCTTGGGCGCCGGGCCTGAAGGGTTCCTGGGGGTAGAGCAGAGTGACAAAGCAGACCAGTTCCTAGTGACCGACAGCGGCAGGACTGTGGTGCTCTACAAGGTGAGGGCGGCGGGAGCGGCCGGCCGTGGTTCGCCGCTGCCCGTCCGGACCCGGGAGCGCGAGGCTCGAATGTGTCACGGCCTGGGGAGGAAAAGCCCGGAGCGGGCCGGACCGAGCCCCGCGCTGGGGCGCCGGGTGGGGTTCGGAAGCCGTCTCCCTGCGAGGACCGCCGTAGCTCCGAGGGACAGGCGCCAGTGCCGCGGTGCACGTGGGGCGCGCTGCGAACCCGTGGCCGCCTTGTGACGCCCAGAGAGAGCCCCGCCAACGGGCTCTGTCACCCTGCGCCTTGCTCGGCGGAGAGCGAGCGTCAGAGGGTGACACAAGCTGAAGAGACGCGCTGTCCTCTTCATCCGCCTCCCCTTGGTTTCTTGGGGGCGGGGCGGGGGCCGGGAGGGGGTGACGAGACAGATTTCTTGGTACCCTGGAAAGATTGGGCAATTGGGTTTTCACACTGAAGCCCGGATTTGAGAGCTGGAAAAGTCGCGATCTGGCCCCGCGTTGCGGCCTAATTCCTGGCTCGGCACACTTGCTTATAATAACCTTCTGGAAAGTAGGGTTTTGTCTGACATTCTAAACAGTTTCTTGTGTCACTAAAAAGTTACCCATGTGCTTTAAAGTTTGGGGGGGACACGCTGCCAACAATCCCCTGTACTGTCAATTTAGGCTTCCTTCAAACTGTTATATTTTTGGGCTGTCCACTGATAGTTTCTACATAGGAATACAGTAGTTGATGGGAGTTGTGTGAACTGGATCCCACTTAGACCAACCATGTATATCCCTTGCCTCTGTTCCACATGTAATCAACCCATTTTTAAATGTGTCATTGTTTATAAACAATGTCATGAATTAACTTGCTTACAAGAGTTTTGGGCATGTTTTGTTTTGGAGACAAAACAAAGTTGAATTTACAATCCTGCCCCAGCCTCCCCAGTGCTGGGGCTACAAGTGTAACCATAGCTAATTAGAATTTTGACTTGTGTGTTGTTTCTTTCTTTAAGATCACATTTATGGCCATAGCCATTTTTAAGTGTACATATAGTGAAGTGGTAAGAGCATTTACATTGGTGTACAGCCATCACCACTAGCCATCTCCAGAACTCTTAATGTTATAACCCTGAAAATCTGAGCTGGGTGGTGGTGGGGCACACCTTTAGCCCCAGCACTCAGGAGGCAGAGGCAGGTGGATCTCTGAGTTTGAGGCCAGTGTGGTGTACTGAGTGAGTTCCAGGACAGCCTCAAAAAGCTACAAAGAAACCGAAAATCTGTGCAGGTTAAGTAGTAGTTCCTAGGAGTGATGAGATAGTTCCCCGGGTAAAGGCACTTGTCACCAAGTCTGATGACCTGAATTCAGTTCCCCGGATCTATCTATATGGTGGAAGGAACAAAACTGACTCCTGAAGGCTGTTCTCTGTGTATGTGTGTGCACATACGAATAAATACATAAGTGTAATTAAAAATAAATAATAACTCTCCACTTGGAAACTTGAGGCCAGAGAATCTGGAGTTTGGGGCCAGCTTAGGCCTTCTCCAGTGAATAAGAAATAATAACTGTTCCTCCCATCCCCTGGTAATCACCATTATCTGTTGGTCTTCATCATTTTAATCTAGGCACTTTATGAATTAGAAATGATGTTCAGTGCTGTCACTCAGTGGTTTCTTTTCTTCTCTGTTCCATCCAACTGTTCTAATGTCTGAAGCTGAAGTCTTGAATTTTGTATTCTTTCTCCAGGTTTCTGATCAGAAACCTTTGGGCAGCTGGTCAGTGAAACAAGGTCAAACTATAACATGTCCTGCTGTGTGCAACTTTCAGACTGGAGAATATATTGTGGTCCATGACCATAAGGTAAGGTTAAAATGTATTCATATGTGCGGCGTAAGATAGGCTGCGTGTATTGACTGCCCATTGCACGTAAATAAGATATAGAGTACTAACTAATGTGTACTTTGATTTCAGGTTTTGAGAATATGGAATAATGAAGATGTAAACTTGGATAAAGTATTTAAAGCCACAGTAAGTCTTTGGATTTTCTGACATATTCATTGGTGAAAGTAATAACTCACAATCTCACGTTTGTTATTTATATATTGCCTCTGGACAAAGAAGCCTATGATTATAGTCAGTTTTCCCTTCTATCTGTATATATATATATATATATATATATATATATCTCAACTGACTTAGTAGTAGGTTAGAAAATACAGGCTTTATTATCCCATAAAGACTGTTGGTTTAAATAGTTCATGAATGGAGCTAGCAAGATGGCTCTACAGTTTAAAGCATTTGCTGCTTTTGCAGAAGACTGGAGTTTAGTTCCCAGCATCCACATGTTGTCTTACAACCATCTGTAACTCCACCTCCAGAGAACCTTGATGCCTTCTTGGGCCTCTGTAGTTTTCTGCATGTACATGGTGCACACACATATACATACACATAAATGTTTTAAGAAATAATGATTGGGGTTTGGATGTTTGGTATATTTCTTGTAAGATACGTTTTTTGTTTGTTTGTTTTTGTTTTGTTTTCCTGTGATTTTTGTTTAAAACAGAATAGACACTACAGGCTGGGCAGCGGTGGTGGTGCCCACCTTTAATCCCAGCAGTTGGAGACAGAGGCAGGTGGATCTCTGAGTTTGATGCCAGGTGCATGCGTGTCTCCTTCACTGTGTAGCACTGGCTGTCCTGTAACTTGATATGTAGACAAGACTGATCTTGAACTCACAGAGATCTGCCTGCCTCTGCCTCTCAGGTGCTGGGATTAAAGGTGTGATCCACTATGCCCTCCATATGTCTTTTAGGTGAGGTGTGATGGTACATGCAGGTAATGTCATGTAATGTCACAGAAGAGTCTAAAGCAAATCATAATGAGTCCAAGGCCAGCCTAGACAACATAACTAGACACCTACTAAAACTTGGAACATTTTTCCAGCTGTCCGCTGAGGTTCATAGGATCCACTCAGTGCAAAGGACAGAACCTCTGGTGCTGTTCCGAAGAGGTGCTGTCCGTGGGTTAGAGGCCTTGCTTGCAGAACCTCAGCAGAGCATTGAAGCTGTCATAGCTGATGAGGAAGTGATCAAGTAAGTTCCGATACTTGTGTTGAATTTTTACTCGTAGAAATATGCTCTGTGTTACTTTACTATGTTTAAGGGTGTTTTTGCTTAGAAACATAAATGGCTATGGTGTAATTCAGTGGTATAACCTTGCCTAGCATTAATCCCTGGAATCCCAAGACAAAAGTATCCTAATTAAGTCCCACTTACTGCTGGGTATGGTACTAGGGAGACAGGCAGTCAGAACTTGGAGATTAAGGCCAGGCTTTTTCTAAGCCAGCAGGAGCTACATACTGAGTCCTTATCTTTAAAAATAAAGTGGGGCTTGAGAGATGGCTTGAACATTAAAAGCACGGCTGCTCTTCCAGAGGTCCTAAGTTCAAATCCCAGCAACCACATGGTGGCTCACAACCATCTTAAAGAGATTAAAGATGCAGGCAGAGCGCTGTAAACATAATAAATAAATCTAAAGAACAAGAAAAGCAAAAACAACATTTAGGAGACACTCATAAAATCTCCATGAGCCTGTGAAATCATACATGAGGAAACAAGCATAATCCTGGACAAATGTCAGAGACCTGGGAAATCACCTGTTAATGAAATGGGTAGTATCAAAAGTTCACACTCTTTGGTTCCATCCCATTGCTGAGCCACGGCCCTTTCCCCTGAAGAAACCTTTCCTTGGTAATAAGAGGTAAAGGCGGAGCTTACGGCCTCTGCTTCCAGGCTCTGGAATAATGCTGGGTAAATAGCTCATCCCCATGGTGGCAGGACAGTCCTTGACTTCCCATTGCTCCCATGCTCATTACTTCATCACATTCCCTATTTATTTTGTTTGTGGCCTCTTCAGGTCTACCTTGTAGAAATTAAATTCCTAAAAGCGAAGACTTGTGAGTAAGTGAGCAAGTGGACTGCTTGTTCCTAGACCAACCCATGCATTCCTCTAAGGTGTAGTGGTTCAGAGAGTGGGTGACCTTAGGGTTCTAGTCATCACTGCACCACAAGCTAGCAGCCATCTTAGTTGCGGCTCTTTTAGCTTCCCTGTGGCTCATTCTGTTTGCTTGGAGAAGACAGATGAGATTCTAATGTTATCCTAAGAACACTAGTCCCCAGAGCAGATCTGATGAAAGGGGCATGGAGGACTCAGCTAAGTCCTGAGAGGACTGCAGACTCCTCTCCCAAGGTCTCAGTTTTCATTATTGTCTGGGAAGTTTAACAACCTGTGCTCTCTCCAGAGATACGTTTGACAGATGGGGTTCTCTGTTGTCCTGCCTCCAAAAACATCATAGTAATTACCTAAGTTTAATTGACAAGTAGCATTTCTCAACTGATTTTGTGTTTTCTAATTTTTCTTTTTTTTTTAAAGGTGGTCAGAGTTTTTCATGGTATTTAAGCAACCTGTTTTAATTTTTATTACTGAAAAAGTAAGTTACATCTTCAGTTTTTGTTCTTTGTGACATATAAGTGCTAATTATAACTATTTCTATACCTAAATTAAGTCAACATTTTTAGCATATTAATTCATTTTATTTTTATGATATAAAAACCCTATGTGAAGCTGGGCAATGATAGTGCACACCTGTAATCCCAGCACTTGGGAGAATGAGGCAGGAAGAAAAGTTTGAGGTCAGCTTGGGCTACATAGTGAGACACTGTCTCAAAAGACAGTGGTTGGAGATGTAGCTCAATGGTACAGCTCATGCTTACCAAGCGTAGCGTCTCTATGGTCCTTAAGAGCCTGGAACTCACTGTGTAGATCAGGCTAGCTTGGAACTTACCGCATTTTGCTTGTCTTTGCCTCCCAGTGCTGGGATTGCAGGTATGTGCTATCATACCCAGCCTAAGCAAGTAGGTTCTCAGTAATTACTGAAGTAATTAGGATGGAGTAATAACTTCTAGTTTTAACACTTAACTGTAGTTACTTGAACTGGGAATATTTACAAAATAATTCTTTTTCTTGCAGCATGGGAATTATTTTGCTTATGTACAATTATGCAAATCACATAGCTTAAGCAAATACACACTCTTACTTGGAAAAGAAGAAAAAGCTGTTAAGCCAAATTTTACTGCACGTGTGGATGGAAAATTCATCTCCCTGGTGTCATTAAGTAAGTTTTCTTTAATAACAGGTAGTAAATGGAAAGCCTTTAGAGGGTAGTGTTCAATACACATCTTTAAGCTTGCTGCAGTTTTTTTCCTCAGCCATTTCATAGGGCTTTTTGTTAGGTTTACCATAAACACAAGAAATAATACGATACCTCTAAAAGAAAGGTCACATGTAGCTATCCTCCTGCCTCTCTGCCTTCCAGGTGTTGGAATTACAAAGGTTTGTGAAACCATACCTGGTTTTCTGTGGCAAACACTTTAACCAATTGAGTTTCACCTCCATTGTGTTTCCCCCTACACTCACACATTTCTTTGGCATTATTTAATGTGTGTTTTTATGTGCATGTTCCTTGGCTCTCATTTGAGGTCAGACACCTCAATGACACTCGGGTTGTCAGATTTGGTGGCAAGTGTCTTTACCTTGCAACCATTTTACTGACCCCATTTATAAAAATTTTAATGTGTTTGTTGAGGAAAAGTATAGAGTGATGATTGTTTGAAGTTCTGATTTGGTTATTTATGGGTTTTTGATCTTATAAGCACTAATACATTTAACTGCAGTAGATACAAACTATCATTTTTCCATTACTAAACAACCAATACTTGTTCCCAATAGGCTCCGATGGGTGTGTATATGAAACCTTGATACCAATATATTCAAGTGACACTGAAAAAAATCATAGGTTAATTAGAGCATTGATGCTCAAGGCAGTTGTGTCTGGTGCTGCTCGAAATGGTACTGCGCTCACCATCCTGGATCAAGACCATGTAGCAGTCCTGGGACCTCCGCTTCCAGCTTCTAAGGGTAACTGACATCACCTAAGAGTCTAACTTAGCTGTTAGCCTCCAGTCTCCCATCATCTCTCTTGTTTTCAGCAGAATCTCACTGTGTAGCCCAGACTGGCCTTGATCTCAGGATCCTCCTACCCCAGCTTCCCAAGCCCTGGGATTGCAGGTGTGTATCACCATGCCCAGTGCCATCTTCCAATTCATGAACTCCATCTGTTTATGGCTTCCTTAATTTCTGCTAGCAGTATTTCATAGTTCATACTGTACCTCTAGTCATTCCTTCCTTGGTTAAATTATTCTTTTAGGTGATAATATAAATGTTGTTTCCTTTCTAGTTTTCCTTTCTAGGCTGTAGAAACACAGCTGGTTCTATGTGTTATTCTTATCCCTGCAGCTTTTCTAAGTTTTATTTATTAGTGCATGGTATGTGCATGTCTTGGCTTTGGTTTTGGTCTCAGGGTAATACTTAATGAAGGGTAAGGATGTAATTCTTCTCTATTCTAGGAGAGTTTGGTGCTGGTTTATAATTGATGAAATTCAGTGGTGAGGTCTTCTAGTCCTAGGCTTTTCTTTCTTGAATGTTGTTCTAATTACAGACTGAGATCTGCTATTTTGACCTTCCTTGGGGCTTCTCCACTCTGCTTCCAACTTACCCTGTGCCTCATTTGTTTGGATTTTGGTAGCAGTCACTCATACCCCTAAAGCAAACTTGTATATTTATCTCTGCCTGCATCCTTCACACCAGTATATCATGTGTTTCTGTTAAGGTGTGTTTCTGAACTTTTGTTAACTTACATTCTAGAATGCCTCTCCATATGGAACATAAAGTTTCAAACATTACAGACGTCAAAGGAGCTGCCACAAGGGACCAGTGGACAAGTAAGTTTGATTGTTTTGTTGTTGGTGGTGGTGGTTGGTTGGTTTTGGCTTTATTTTTGGTGTTTTATTCAGGTTTGGGTTTTGGGTTTTTGCTTTCTGTAAAATATTACTATGTAGCCAGCATGGCCTCACAGTTGGAATCCCGCTGCCTTTAGCCTTATAGATATGTGCCAGCATGTTGCTAGTTACTGGCTTCCTATTAAGTATCTTCTGAGGAAAACTAGAATTACTTTTTTTTTATTATTATTGGTTGATTGGCTTTTTGGTTTCTTAAGACAGGGTTTCTCTGTGTGACAGTCTTGGCCATCCCAGAACCCACTCTGTAGACCAGGCTGGCCTCCAACTCACAGAGATCTGCCTGCCTCTGCCTCCAAGTGCTGGGATTAAAGGTGTGTACCACCACACCTGGCTTACAATTAATTTTTTAACTTAGATTACATTTGGTTGGGTTTTTGTTTTTAACAGTTTCTATATAGTTATGAATTTAATTTTGTTTTGGTTAGAAGGGGGTTGGCTTTTTTGAAATAGGGTTCTGTTTATAATCCTGGCTAGCCTGGAACTTGCTCTGCAGACAATTAGTTTGTTTTTATTTTGTTCATTTTAGCTTTTTATTTTTGTTTTTTAAGCTATGACCTATGGTATTACTACTCCTAATAAATTAGCCTTTAAATATACATGTTACCATGGAACTACTTAAAGATTTAACATTTTGCAGGACACCTTTAATCCGGGCACTCAGGAGGCAGAGGCAGACAGATCTCTGAGTTTGAGGCCAGCCTGGTCTACAGAGCTATTTCCAGGATAGCCAAGACTATGAAAAAAAGAGTCAGCCTATGTGTCCATCAGTGGCTGAATGAAGACTCTGCTATATATTACATTATGGAACTTGGTTCACTAAGAAGAATGAAATGTCACTTGAAGGAAAAGTAGATGGACATTTCTGAAAATCAGAATTTCCTCTCATTGCTGAATGTGGACTTAATGTGTGTAAGACAAGAGAGTGGAGCAGGGACGATGGAAAGAGGAGACTGAGCAGCAGAAGTGGGTGGGGTGGTAAATGAGGGTCAAGGGCAAACAGTTTTCAGTGTAGGTGAACTGTAATGAAATCCATCATTTGGTACGGTGAATAGGTGCTAATAAAATAAGTTCCAGGTTTTTGTAGAGTCAGAGCTCAGAAAATATATGTTTTATTAAACTCTTTTTCAGCTCTGGTATCATGGGGAAATACTATTTATGTTACATGGAAAATGTCTAACTGTGATCCCATACAAGTGTGAAGTTTCATCTCTGGCGGGCGCTCTTGGGAAGCTCAAGCATACGCAAGAGTCAGGTTGGAATATCTCTGCCTATTTTAGTTCCTGGTTTCTTTCTTCTTTCCCTTGAGTTTTTCTGCAGGGTTTCTCTATGTAGCTCTGGCTGTCCTGAAACTCACTCTGTAGACCACGCTGACCTCAAACTGAGATCCATCTGCCTCTGCCTCCTGAGTGCTGGGATTAAAGACACGCACTATCAACAGCTGTCTTAAAACCTCTCTTAAATTGTACATAAGTGATTTTCTTTTGTTATTGTTCTTTAATTTGATGTTAGGTCAAAATAGTCCATATAATTTATGTTTTGTGTTTCCATAGACACTCATTCCATGCCCCATTTTGTGGACTGGGAAACTTGTTCAGGATATGAACTTGGGTCCTACAGTGCAGAGCAGTCAAGAACTGTAAGTAAGTTCAATGAGAAATGTTAGTGGGAGTATAAAAAGAAAAAACAGGAAAAGTTGGCACTACCTTAAAAGTTCATGTCTATGTACCTATCACAGCTTAATCTTAGTAACAGGGCTTCATTGTTGTAGCCTTAAAGGCTTTTTTTTTTTTTGGCTGGGGGTGGGGTGGGGTGGGGTGTTCAAGACAGGGCTTCTTTGTGTAGTCCTGAAACTCACTGTGTAGACCAGACTAGCCTTGAACTCACAACGATCCGCCTGCCTGTGCCTCCTGAGTGCTGGAATTAAGGGCATGCACCACTACTGCCCAGCTGTTTTTAAATATGTTTTTATTTTTTGTTTCTGTGCCCAAGTATGTGTGTGCTCTATATGCATGCAGGAGCCAGCTGAGGGTGAGGACAGAGTCAGATCTCGTTATAGGTGGTTTGAACTGTCATGTGTGTGCTGGGAACCAAGCTCAGATCCTCTGATGAAAGTGCAGCAGCAAATGTTCTCAGTGGTTATACTGAGCTCTCTCCAGCTTCAGTGTGTGTTAAGTTACTAATGTGTGTTAATAAACTAAGTCCCAGGGAGGGAGGAAATAGACCAATATGCAATTAGCAGTACTACCCTCCTGAGTATAGAGTAGGTTATTTTAAGTGTTAAAAAAGTAAAGTAAACCAAGACCAAAGCTGGATGTGGTGTATCATACCTCTAATTTCAGCACCAGGGAGTAGGGAGGATTGGAAGTTTGAGGATGGGCTGGGCTACACAGTAAGTTCCAGGCCAGCCAAAGTTAAAAATAAGTCTTAATGTATTTCATTTCAAAGTTGTAATAAAAGCATTTTTTTTTTATTTTTTTATTTGTTTTGGTGTTTTTTTGTTTGTTTGTTTGTTTGTTTGTTTTTTGTTTTTTTGAGACAGAGTTCCTCTATGTAGCAGTCCTGGCTGTCCTGGAGCTCTGTAGACTAGACTGGCCTCAAACTCACAGAAAACCTCCTGCCTCTGTCTCCCTAGTGCTAGGATTAAAGGCGTGTGCCACCACTGCTTGGCAAAACATTCAATTTATATTAAAGCTTGTTTTTGAAAAGTATGTGATTGAATGGAGCCAGGCAGTGGTTATGCACACCTTTAATCCCAGCACTTGGGAGGAGAGGCAGGCAGATCTCTGTGAGTTGGAGGCCAGCCTGGTCTAAAAGCTAAACAGAGAATGCTATCTTGGGGGGGAAAAAATGTGACTGGGTCTAGAGAGAGGCTTAGCAGTTGAGAATGTTTGCAGCTCCTACAGAGGACCCAAGGTTGGACCCCCCCCCCACTCGTTTTAGACAGCTCACAGCTGCCTATAACTCAAACTTCAGGAGGCCTTCTTGTAGCCTTCTCAAGTACCTCCATTCACATACACATACTTACACAGAAACACATGTTGACCTATATTAAAAAGGAAAGCTTGGAGCTGGAGAGGTGACTCAGTGATTAAGAGTTCTGGCTGCTCTTATATAAAGGACCAGCATTTGTTCCCAGCATCCATACGGCAGCTCAAAACCATCTATAACTTTAATTCAGGGGACCCAACTTCCTCTTCTGTCCTCCATGGGTAACACACACTCAGATGCCACACATGCATACATGTAGGCAAAGCACCCATGCACAAAAAATAAAAATAGCTGGGTATGGTATCACATAACTTTAATCTCAGCACTCAGGAGCAGAGGCAGGTATATCTCTTTGAGTTTGAGGCAAACCTTGTCTACATAATGAGTTTCAGGATACCCAGGACTACATAAACTTGTGTCAAAAAAATTAAAAATTTTATAAATCCTTAATATATGTATTTTAAGTATATGATCATATCAAGTATGCTAATATAAATTTTGTATGTGCTTTGCATTATTTTGAGAGCCTAATGAATTTATTTACTTACAGCTAAGGAGGAAAAAAATTGAAACAAATTTACATCCAGAAGTTCCAGGATCCAAACAACTTTTATCAATAATAAAGGTAAATTTAAAACAGGAAACTAGAAACCAGGCTGGTGAGATGGCTCAGTGATAAATGTACTTGTTTCACAGATCTGGTGACCAATGTTGATCCTTGGGTCCCATACAAAGGAGGATCGAAAAACCCAATCCATAAATTTATCTTACTTATATGAATGCATACCACATGAGTGCCTGGGCAGTTAAGCTACCATGTAGGTGGTGGGAACTGAACCCAGGTCATCTGAAAGAGCAACAAGTGCTCTTAATGGCTAAACCATCTCTCCAGCTCCTATTCTACATGTTCTAATGTTTAATGTTAGCTATGGTGAACATTTGTGTTGTATATTACCTTCTTCAGAGCTGGTGCAAAATGTTGCCTTTTTTGACTTATCTGATAATAATTGGTGATCTGGTGCTGTCCTCCTCCTGTGTCTCAGACTTTACGCTGCAATACAGTCTCTTATGGAATTTTTTATTCTCTGCTTGTGTGTGTGTGTGTGTGTGATTTTTTTTTCTTTTATTTATTATGTATACAGTGTTCTGTTTGCATACATGTCTGCAGGCCAGAAAAAGGTGCCTTATCTCATTACAGATGGTTGTGAGCCACCATGTGGTTGCTAGGAATTGAACTCAGGACCTCTGAAAGAATAGTCAGTGCTCTTAACCTCTGAGCCATCTCTCCAGCTCCCATGTGTGTATGATTTAATGTCACCTTCCTTCAGTGGATTGCATGGATATTGGTGTTTTGAGAGAATGTTGTGCTGGGAAGTGTTTTGTATGACATTTTGTTTGTTTGTTTTTGGTTTTTGAGACATGGTTTCTCTGTGTAACAGTCCTGGCTGTTTTGGAACTAGCTCTGTAGGCCAGGCTGGCCTCAAAACTTAGAGATCTGCCTTCCTCTGCCTCCCTGGATCAAAGGCGTGTGCTGCCACCATGCAGCCCAGCATGACTTCCCCCTACTCCCATCCCCCACCCCAAGACAGGATTTCTCAGTGGCTATGCAGCCAATCTTGGAACTCGCTCTGTAGACCAGGCTGGCCTCAGAGATTCATCCACCTGTCTCTGTCTCCTGAGTGCTGGGATTAAAGGCATGCGCCACCACTGCCCAGCTCAGTATGACATTTTTTTTAATGTGCCAACCTAAATTCTTATATTTGCCTTTTCAGAATAATTCAGAAAAACACATTGAAGTAGAACTACGTAAATTTTTGGCTAAGTCAACACCTGACTTTCATACTATAATTGGAGATATAGTAGCAGGACTTCTGGGAAGGTGTAAAGAAGAACCATTGTTTTATCCAAGGAACTGTCTGATGCAGCTCATTCAAACGCATGTGCTTTCCTACAGGTAGATGTGTGTCTCACACTTCATATGCAGCACTCTTTTGATCTTGTTTTTTGTACTTGTGATTTTTCCCTGTAAAAGTGGTTCCTGAGGAGGTATCTAGGTGAGTAAAGTAAGACTGGAGTTCAGCCTCCCAGAACCCACATAAACATATGGTGGGGTACGGCAGCCCACCTCAATCCCAGTGCATGAGAGGTAAAGATGGGACTAGTCAAAACTTCCATCTCTAGGTTCAGACCGTTTGTTATAGGGTGAGGGGCATTGGAGGAAGCCACTCACATTACTCTAGGGCCTCCACAGACACAAGCATAAACATACATGTATTAATACACCAAGACTCTGTATTTGATATAATGATATAGGCCCGTTACTTGTTTCTTATCAGCTAGCTCTGTCTTAAGTATCAACCCATTTCTATTAATCTAGTATTTCCACGTGGTCTTCTTACCAGGCAATGAGGCTGGCGTCTGGTCTCCCCAGCCTCTCCATCTTGACTCCTCCTTACTACTTCCTCTTTCTCCTTCACTCCTAGTTCCTCCTCTCTTGCTTTCCTATTGGCCAACAGTGCTTTATTCATTAACCAGTATGAGAAACATATTTACATCTCCCATCACATGTATACTCACTTATAAGTGAGCATGCATAAATTCACAGCACATGGACATAAAGAACCAGAGAGACTGCCATCTGTGTTCGGTAGTAGTCTTAGTTGCCTTTAGTCTCCTGTTTTCGTGATGAAATAGGCTGTACCACATAGACTTGACATTCACAGCGTCACATGGTGGGCTTGTGGACCCTCTTTATAGGAACTCCAATCCTGATACACATTGCCTGAATTCAGTTTTTGAATCTTTACCCCCAAAACCATTACTACATAATAATGCTGCTGACTTCTGCTATAAGCTTAAGGTATGGCTTGGACCACAGTACTGGCTATAGCACTGCTAGGCAGTTGCATTCAAGGAGCAGGGAACTCCTCCAACTTAGACTCCCTTTAAATGAGCCTGTATATGTTCACTAGATAGAGCTTCTGTGGGATGGAGTTTTGCCCTTGGGACAACTTTCCTATTGTCCAGTGTAGCACAAATGGTTTCTAGTTAAGGGTGTTTCTCAGTAACAAACTAAATGATCTTTTTTGAAATTTCCTCTATGAAACAAACTAGTCTGTTATTGCTCAGTTCAACTTCATGTATGTTCTCAGGACATGGGACAGAGTGAAACCAGAATCTTGTTTAGAATACCACACAAATGGCCCAGCGATCGGTCCAGTTCCTAAAACAGTCTCTTATTCCACTGTCTGCATTTCTCTCGACATTGCTGTTTTTAGGTCAAGCTTTCCTTTCAGCATTTAAGTGCCTTTTGAACCCCAATTACCAAACTCCTCCACACTGTAGCCTCAGAAAGTTCCAGCATTCTGAGACCCTCACAGATTGCTACAGCATCTGGAAAAAAACTAAGACGGTGGTAATGGCATATGCCTGTGATCAAATACTTAATTGGTCAAAGCAGGGAGATTATGGGGTTGAGGCCAGCCTGAACTACATAAAAAGATCCCCTGCTCCTCTCCCCACCCCTCCCCCGTTTTTTAAAGATGGCTTAGTAGTGAAAAGCACTTGCCCTTCTCGAAAAGGACCTAGGTTTATTTTTCCAGAACTCACTTGGTGGCTCAACCATCTATTATTATACAATTATATAATCTATAATTGGATCCATTATTACGAATCCAGTGCGCTCTTCTGCCTTTCACAGACAATAGGCATACATGCGGTACACAGATTTACACGCAGGCAAACCACTCATGCATGTGGTACACAGATTTACACGCAGGCAAACCACTCATGTTTGGTGTGTGTGTGTGTGTGTGTTGTTTGCTTTGGTTTTTATAGTAATTGTCTTATTTTTGCTCTCAGCTTGTGCCCTGGCTTGATGGAGATTGCCCTAGAACATACAGATGTTCAGATGTTACAGCTGTGTCTGCAACAGTTCCCTGACATTCCTGAGTCGACCACCTGTGCTTGCTTAAAACTTTTCTTGAGGTAAGTTAGAACCTGTGCTCTCATTCCCTGATGTCATTTTTCAGATCTGTGATTTATTTGACTTCTAAAATGTTGAATGCTTAGAGAGTGAACTTTCAGAGATTCAAATCGTGAGAAGAATTAACCTCTTGCTTTCAATTAACATCGTAGCATTGGTGATGACTGTCTTCGAGACATTAATATCAATATGGAGTCAGTTTTTGATTATAGTGATACCATACACGATGAGAAAAAGGAAAAGGAAGAGCAAACTGAAATAGTTCAAAATGGCTTCAGTCCAGAAGACGGTAGCTGCAGTAAAAGTGATCAGCAATTAAATAAAAAGCCGGGCGATGCAGCAAAGGAGACCATCTCTTTCCCTGTGACCTCATGTCCTGTGGCACCAAAGCGAGCGGCTCTGCTGTATCCTTTCAGACAATTTCCATTGTACTATGTCCATTAGGGATATAGCTATATGCCAAGCAGTAACTAAGACATGATTAAAGAAATTTTCCCCTATAAATGGGTTATATTTGATGCCGCTTTCAACTAATTTATTCAATGTGTCCCCCACCCTCTGTGTGTGTGTGTGTGATAGGAGATGTCATTCTGTAAATAAGTTTCTCATATTAGTTAATGAATAAAGCACTGTTGGTCAATAGGAAAGCAAGATAGGCGGCTCTAGGAGACAAGGAGGAGTCGGGGAGAGGTAGGAGTTTCAACATGTAGGACCAAGAGAGCAGAGCTCCGGACCCTCTCTCCGGGAAGATAAGACACTTAGATTGATAGAAATGGGTTAATATTTTAAGAGCTAGCCAGTAAGAAATGCTAGTAACAGGCCAACAGCTTTATATCTAATACAGTGTTTCTGTGTGTTATTTGGGGCTAACGCGGCTGTGGGACCAGGCTGGCAGGCAAACTACTTGTAACGTGTGTATTGGGGTGGATTACTCCCATGGTCTTATGCATACTTGTCAAAAACTCTACCTCAGATCTACCTTCCCTAGCCATTGATAACCTGTTTTCTTTGGGGATTCTTTTTATTATTTGGTTTGGATTAATTTTGTTTTGAGATGTGGCTCGGGTAGCCTTGGCATCATCCTGTCTCTACTTCTGGAGTGCCAAGATCGTAGGTGCTTGTCACCATTTCTTACTTGGCCTGTTTTCTCCTTCCCTCTCTTCCTCCCTCCCTTCCTTCCTTGCTTTTTCCCATTTTATTGATTAAGAAGCTGTAATATTAGGAACTAGAGAGGTCGCTCAGCAGTTAAAAGCACTGGCTGTTGTTCCAGAGGACCCAGCACCCACATAGTGGCTCATAGCTGGGACTCCTTCCCAGTGAGTCTGACACCCTCACACAGACAGACGTAGGCAGAACACCACGCACATAAAATAAAAATAAATCATTAAATAAATAAAAGGAGAAGCAATACTAGACCTCACACCTGTAAACCCAGCCCTTGGGAAACTGAATCAGAGGGATTGCTGAGAGTTCAAGGCCAGTTTGGACTAGATTAAGATTCTGTATCCCAAAAAAAGGGGTGAGGATCAAGTAATGGCTCATGCCTTTAAACCCAGAATTCAGGAAGAATAGACAGGTAGACCTCTGTGAGTTTGAGCCCAGCCTGGTCTACAAAGTGAGTTCTAGGATAGCCAGGATTGTTACACAGAGAAACACTGTCTGGAAACCACACACACACCAAAGAAGAAGCTGCATGGGATTTTTTTTTTAAAAATGTTTACAAATGAGTGGTGTCCCCAATCTCTGACAATAGGAGTGTTGGTGATCAGACCTCTTGTAAACCAGGAAGGAATGACTCTTGTTTATAGTAGTACCACCTTGCCTTTATTGAAGATTTTCCTTTAGTCCTGAATAGAAATGCAGTTCTCCATTCGGCATATAGTGAGGCCTTCCTCCTGCCACACCTGAAGGACATCCCCGCAAAGCACATCACGGTAAGTGTTCTGCATAGATTTCTTCGCTTCTGATCTAAATTGTGCTGCTTAATTCTGAGCAACTGGTAGGTCATTCTAATGCTGGGTTACTTTCATGCACATAAGAGGGAGGTCCACACGTGAAAATTGCTCAGGGAAACCTGGGTGATTTGGGGGTGAGAGACCTATGTTTCTTCTGTCATGCTAGAAACCAGGTTAAACTGCCTTAGGGTGTCACTGAAGAAACACTCAACTATAAAGAGAAAAATTTTCCTTTCTTACCTGTTGTTTACTGACCTGAGCTCATCACCCTCCTGTCATAACTAAATAGCTTCTTAGTGGTGACAGGAACCCCATTTTACTCATTCTGTCCCCAGATACCTGTCACATTTGTTTAATGTATAATTTGATTGGACAACTTTGTCCATTTTTTTCTACTATCTTGGGTTTATTTGTGGAGAACGTTTTAATACTGGAGTGTTTGTGTTTTCCCTCCAACAGCTATTTCTCCAGTACTTGTATTTCCTCTACCTGAAGTGTAGTGGCAATGCTGCCATGACTCTTCCTGGAATTAGCCCTCCAACTCTGAGCCAGGTAGGACAACTTTTGCCTTTGTCTAGAAATCTGCGTGCAGTGTCAGCCTTGGAGTCCCATAACTGATTTGTCCCTGTTGGCCCAAGATGGGATGATGCCACCTCCTCCCTTGTGCATGTTGCTGGATTGGAGAGGGCTTCTCTGTTCAGTAGATGGATTTCTAGATTCATAATTCCAGATAACAGAATCCCAAAGACATCTTTGTAAGGGAAATTTTCTGTAGTATCAAGAAGGTTTCAAACCTGTCTCAAAAAAACAAACAAAAAAAAAAAAAGAACTTTGGGTCCAGGTGTGGTAGTACAAGCTTTATATCCTAACACTCAAAAGTCAAGGGCAGGTGGATCTCTATGAGTTCAAGACTAGTCTGGTCTATGTAATGAGTTCTCATAGTGAGACCATGCCTCAGAAAATTAAAAAAAAAAAAAAAAAGAAAGAAAAGGTAAACTTTGCACCTCTGCTCCTCCAGTCCCTCTTAGAGATAACCAATATTAAAAGTTTCTCTTGTGGAGCTGGGCAGTGGTGGCACACACCTTTGATCCCAGCACTTGGGAGGCAGAGGCAGGCAGGGTTTGAGATCAGCCTATTTCAGTGTGAGCTCCAGCACAGCCAGGACTATACAGAGAAACCCTGTCTCAAAAAACCAACAAACAAAAAACTCAGAGAAGTTCCTTTTGTGTCTAGAAATAATGATTCTAGCCTGGCAGTGGTGGCACATGTCTTTACTCCCAGCACTCCGGAAACAGAGGAAAGTGGATCTCTGTGAGTTCAAGACCAGCATGGTCTACAGAGCAAGTTCTGTCTAGGACAGGTTCCAAAAGTTACACAGAAAAATCCTGTCTTGAAAACAAACAATAAATATATAGATAGATAGATAGATAGATAGATATCTATATATCTGTCTTTGATTTTTGTCTTTCTGACACAAGACCTTTAATGTGTGACTTTCTGCAAGTTGATTCTTTGTCTCAGTACCATGTTGCAAACATGTTCTAGCCTGGTACATCCATCTTTTCTCATCTCCTCTTGATACGTTGCTCACAAGTTTTGCAACGTAAATAAGTTTTGAGTTCTAATCTTCACCTGGGTATCCTTGTGGGTTTATTCCCACAAGGGAAACAGGCATTTGTTTTCAGTTTTCATAATGCCTTTCCAGAGAGTTGTGAATGGGCTGCCCCTGAAGTTGGATCCTTAGTTCCCCATACTCTGCGCACACCTGCTATTATTGCTAAACTTCTCTGTCTTGCTAATCGGGTAGGAAACAGTGAGCCAGGCTTTGGTGGCACATGCCTTTGATCCCAGCACTCAGGAGACAGAGACAGGTGGATCTCTGTGAGTTCAATGCCAGCTAGTTCAAAGACAAGCTCCAAAACAATACAGAGAAACCCTGTCTCAAAAAAAAAAAAAAAAAAAAAAAAAAAGACGAGAGGGTGCAATAGTTTTTCTTTATTCCTTTTAGTGAGGTATTTACTCAGGTTCTTTATCCATCATACTGTTATATTTCCTGTTTGGGTGGGGAGGTGTTTATAAACAGTCTTTTGTGTATGGAGTTAATTTCTATCATTTGTGTTGTTACTGTTTTAGTGTTTTTTTGTCCTTTGACAGTGTTGTGTGTTATGTATAAAGTCTTTTTCTCTCTGTTACCTCTCCCTCCCTCTTCTGATGAAGCCCTTTATTCCTGAGATATGCCCTTCATGTGATTTCATGTCTGTATGTGAGACCCACATGATTAGAACTCCTTTATGAGCATGGCTGGAGGGTGTCTACTAGACCCGGAGCTATTTTGCAGTGTCTATACCACTGGCTAAATAGACAACTCTCACCAACAAATGGGAATTGTCAATAGTCATGTCCCTCAGGGAGGGTGGCACTTCATGTACCCTCCTTATCACTTCTAGGCAAGTTTTAATTTTTGTGCTGTGACACGCACTAGACTCTTATTTTCTCTAAGGTTATAAAAATAGCCTTCTTGTTTTTCTCACCAGATATTTTTATCGTTTATCTCCTCTTAACTTATTGACTCATATAGATTGTGTATTTATTTACTTGTTTTTGTTTTGTTCTTTGAAGGCAGACTCTCCCTCTAGAGCTCACGCTGGCCTTGAATTCTCATGTGCTGGGATCTATTTTGGTGCAGGGAGTTTCATAGAGATAATTCTTCCTTTACCACTAGAAACCAATTTCTTAATGTCTTTTCATATTTGCATACTTCATAGAACATTTGGCAGTGTAGCAAGTGTAGCGTACTTCTATAAATATGTATTTTATTTGCATTATATTCACTGTGATATGCAGACCTGTGATACGTCTGTCAGGGTAGAAGATGAGTGGGTTCTTCCTTGTAACTACAGGTAATTATTTAAAAGAAAATTTGTTTTTCTTTTGTGAAAAGGTCTCACTGTAGCCCGGGCTGGCCTGGAACTCACATCAGTGATCTATCTTCCTTCTACCTCCAAAATGTTCAGATTACACCACAGCAGACAACAAGCTTTCTACATCAGATGGCTAGTGCTAACTGCTGGATTAGATCCCATCTGATTTCCCTATCACTGGCTAATGTTATCCTTACAAAGTAAAAGCAGAAAGAAAACATGCTTCTTAGAATTATTCCATCTCTAAACTTCATCTTCAAACTTTCATGAGGATTTGTTTTTCTAGCCAGGGTAGTGGGGCATGCCTTTACTCCCAGCACTTTGGGGAGGTAGAGGCAGGCAGATCTCTGGTCTACATAGTGAATTCCAGGACAGCCTGGGAGACATAATGAAACCACCTTAGGAGAGACGGCTCAGTGGTTAAGGCTGCTCTTCCAGAAGTCCTGAGTTCAATTCCCAGCAATCTCATCATTACTTACAACCATCTGTAATAAGATCTAGTGCCCTCTTCTAGGCAGAACACTGTATGCACAGTAAATTAAATAAATAAATAAATGAAGCAAGCAGTGGCTGTGCCCCTTTAGACCCACTACTTGGGAACCAGAGACCAATTTGGTTCACAAAACAAGTCCCAGGGCTTCCAGGCTGTTACACAAAGGAACCCTGCCCCCCCCAAAAAAAATTGTTTTTCTTCTGTTTGAGACCATGATGGACTTGAATTAATGTATTAATCTTTTTGTATTTATCTCTAGATTATGGATTGGATATGCCTACTTCTAGATGCCAATTTTACTGTTGTCTTAATGATTCCAGAAGCAAAAAGACTGTTGCTTAATCTTTACAAATTTGTGAAATCTCAGGTTTGTGGTTATAACTCTTCAAGTTAATTATCTTATTCTGAGTGGGGTGATGTGTCTGGGTGGGTGCAAGTATGCCAGTGCCTGAATGTGTCAGTCAGAGCACTGCTTTCTAGTGTTTTCTCCCCACACCCTGCAGGGTCAGGGTAGTGGCTTGTCTCAAGTAATTGTTTCCAAGAAAAAAAAAAAAAGCTAATTGTACATAAGTATAATCCATACACCTTACCCTTAAAATGTGGTTATAAAGAAGCAGGAATCAGCTTGTGATAGAGGAGCCATATGTGCTTCAGGCTATTGATTCATTCCAGTTCATACAACAAAAGTGTTCCTGCAAAAGCCATTAGTGATGGGAGAAAGGATGTTGTATGTGATGTTACAGAAAGTTACTCTGAGTCTTTTTCTTCTCCAGATTTCTGTCTATTCCGAGCTCAACAAGATTGAAGTAAGCTTTCGGGAGCTACAGAAATTGAGTCAGGACAAGAGTAGTAGAGGACTTTACTCCATTGAAGTGCTGGAACTCTTCTGAAAGCAGTTTTCCTTCATGGACATTCTATGGAGCTCGCTGTCTCTCTCTCTCTCTTTTTTTTTTTTTTTTTTTTTTTTAATTGGTTTTTTGTTTTCTTGAGACAGTGTCTCATTATGTAGCCTTGTCCTGGAACTGGATGTGTGGATATGTAGACCAGGCTGGCCTCAAATTTACAGAAATGCACCTGCCTCTACCTCCCAGAGTGCTGGGATTAAAGGCATGGCCACCATGCCCAGCTTGATGAAATTCTTTATGTGAGTCCACCTGCGTCCAGGGAAGAAAGTTTGCTTTCATCATCCCTTGGTGTCTGAAGAGAAGTGTGAATCCTGGACCATCACATCACCTCTCCTCAGAGTTGCTACAGGGTTCATGCAGACAGACTCTAGGTTGTAGGCATCACTGGAAGGAGGTGAAAGCTTTTAAAATATGGGATTGAGCTGATTTTAAGTAAACTTATTTGTGTACTGATAAAAGTCTAATTTCTTATACATTTTGAAAATAGTTTTTCTTTTAATAAAAGAAACAAACCATCTCTGAAGAGTCGACCCAGGGAGAGTGCATTTCTCAGGCAGAATCTGTTCCAGTTCCTTTGTATCTGTGGCCGCAGAGACCCTGCCACATGGAGCTCTCAGAACCCCAGCCAGCATGGTGCTTGCTGTCTCCTGCCATCTCTCCATCCTTCATTTTCTGCTGTCCCTGGTCTCTGCTCAGGGTTGAGGGATTCCCTCTTGCAGTGTGATGTCTCAAATGAGCTGTATAACAAGGATAATGGTAAATCTTATACCCAAATATTGAAAATGTCTCTTAAAAAACGGCTGTACTGGGGGCTGGAGAGATGGCTCTGCTTGCTCTAGCAGAGGTCCTGAGTTCAATTCCCAGCAACCACATGGTGGCTCACAACCATCTTTAATGAAATCTGGTGCCCTCTTCTGGCCTGCAGGGATACATGCAGGCAGAATACTGTATACACAGTAAATAAATAAATCTTTTTTAAAAAAAAAAAAAAAAAAAAAAACGGCTGTACTAGCTGGGCAGTGGTGGCACACACCTTTAATCCCAGCATTCAAGAGGCAGAAACGGTCGGATCTCTGTGAGTTTGAGGCCAGCCTGGTCTACAGAGTGAGTTCCAGGACAGCCAGGACTGTTTCACAGAGAAACCCTGTCTTTCAGAAAGAGGCCAGTGAGAGAGCTCAGTGGGTGAATATGAGTGCAAGCTGTGGGAGCCTGTTGACTGGAGTTCAGTCTCTGGAATGTGTGTAGAGCAGGGAAGAGAGAGCCAGCCTCTCTGAGTTCCCTGCCCTCAACACAAGCACAAAGATCTACACACCACTGCCACACACCTGTAATCCTGGCACTCAGTAACAAAAACTGGTGGAGCTCTGTGAGTTCAAGGCCAGCTTTATCTACAGAATGAGTTCCAGGACAGCCAGAGCTACATAGTGAGACCCTGTCTCAAACCTTCTCCCCAATAAATAAATTTTTTTTATTTATGGGGTGATTGATAATAACTGAGTGGTTTCCACAGTTTGGATTTAGGACAAATCAGTCAAAGTGTGATCTAGATCCCGTGTACACAGAACCTTTGTATTCTTAATTTTAAGTCACAACTGTGGTGGAGACAGGTTCCCCTCAAGACATCACTAATCTCTGTAAACTTGAAAGAAAATAGAAAAGAAATAAATAGAAGAAGAAAAAAATAGTTGAATGGCATGTTTGGAATGTCAACTGTTCAGAGGCTGAAGAAGAATAATCCTAAATTTGAGACTGGACTACATAGACCCCCATCAGGAAGGAGGGAAGTAAGACGAAAATGGGGGAGAGGCCAGAGCAATGCACTGGTTGAGACAGAGTCTCACTGTAGCCCTGGCTGGCCTCGAACTCACAGAGACCCACCTGCCTCTGTCTACACCCTGCATAAGTTGTCCTAACTCCATGCAACTGCCTGAACTAGCGCTGGGAACTGAGACCGGGTCCTTAGGAACTGGGGAGTGCTGTCCACTGCTGAGGCATCTCCAGCCCCATTTGTAAATTAAGCTAGAAAATAAGAGAAGCATATTCAGTCTGTGGTGGTCAGTTTGCAGACCCACATTTGCTTTACAGTATTTGTGGTTTGGTTGTACTTGAGGTTGGCTTGTCGTAAAAACTAACTGATCATTTAGTCAAATGAAAGTGTAGCTTACAGTGACACACTAATCCACCACCGCCCTGCTGGCCACTTGATTTTTAATTGCCTTTAAATACTAGTTGCACTTAAAGGCACTAACTTTAGGCATTCAGGAAGAACTCCATAAGGCTCTTTGTCTAGTTTGCTTCTCTATGGCAGTGATAACACTAACGAGGGCTGGCAAGGTGGCTCAGTGGTTTAAGAGTTTAGTGCCTAGCAACCACTTCAGGCATGCTGTCTGCTCACTTCCATGGCCACCACAGTTCAAGTGCAAACACACACACAGGGTTGTGTAATAGTAAAGTAAAAGTACACTATTAAAGAAAAAAGACATTCTGATTGAAAGCAGCTGGGGAAGGAAGGGGCTTACTTAATCTCACAGGTGGGTCTGTCACTGAGGGAAGTCCAGGCAGGAAGCCTGGAGGGGGGGACTCATGCTGGCTCATTAGTTTAGACCAGGATCACCTACCTCCCTTGGGCATGGTGGCATGCCTGATGGGCTGGTCCTTCCTGCATCAAGACAGACAAGACACAAACACACACACACACACACACACACACAGGAGCTCGCAGACAGGCCAAAAGCTGAGAGTTGGGAATGTGGCTTCACTGGGGCTTTCCTTGAGTGTGAAGCTCTGAGCTTGATCTCAGCCTCCCCTCTGTGAGTTTTCCTTTGTGTGTGTGTTTATTAGGATGTGTCAGTTATACATAATTATATAATAACGGGCTTAATTATGGCATTCCCCTGCTTGTACATATGTACTTCATAGTCACTCCCATTTCCTTCCCCCCCCCTCATTCTTTTGTGGGGAGGGCAGGGGATTGAGTTTCTCTGTGTAGCTTTGGAGCCTGTCTTGGAACTCACTCTATAGACCAGGCTGGCCTCGAACTCACAGAGACCTGCCTGCCTGTGCCTCCCTAGTGCTGGGATTAAAGGCATCTGCTGCCACCACCCAGCTAGCTGAATTGCTGACCATGACAATTCTTATAAAGGAAGATATTTAACTGGGGCTGGCTTACAGTCTTAAGGGTTAGTTCATTATTGCACAGCAGGAAGGATGGCTGCATGCAGGAGACATGGTGCTGGAAAAGGACCTGGAGTTCATCTTGAACTACAGACAGCAGGAAGAGACTGCCACACTGGACCTGGCTTGAGCATATTAGACTTCAAAACTCCCCCCCCCCCAGTGACACACTTTCTCCAACAGGGCACACCTACTCCACAAACCCACACCTCCTAATAGTGCCCCTCCCTAGGAGCCTATAGGGGCCATTTCTTTTTCAGACCACAATACTGTTTTCTTTTTTTTTTGTTTGGTGTGTGTGTGTGTGTGTGTGTGTTATTTTTTTAAACAGGTCTCTCTACATAGCCCTGGCTGTCCTGGAACTCATTATGTAGACCAGGCTGGCCTCAAACTCTGAGAGATCAGACTGCTTCTGCCTCCCGAGTGCTAGGATTAAAGAGCTGGGATTAAAGACATGAGACACCACTGCCTGGCCCCAGCTTGTTTGTTACTTTTTGGTTTTGTGGTGTTTTGTTTGTTTATTTATTGGTCCATCTCCCCAGTGCTTTTTGCTTTGAAGATTTTATTTTTGTGTCTCCTGGAGCTGGAGCTACAGGCATTTTCTTGTGAGCCGCCTAATGTAGGTTCTGGAAAACAAACTCTGATCCCCTGAAAGAACAGCAAGTGCTCCTAACTGCTGAGCCCATCTCCCAGGCCCATCATTTTTGTCCTGAGTCCTGGCCACAGCTCTGCTACAAGTTCCTGGCCCTAGCAATTACTCTCACAGTTGCTTTACCGTCAAGCCTCCAGGCAGTTTATTATCAATGTTCAGGCTGGAATGAACCTGTTAAAACAAAAGAGAGTGGAGGACAGGGCTCAGTACTCAGTACTTGCCATGTAAGTGTCAGTCACCAGAACTCACACAGAAAGGCCAAGCAATCCCAGTGCTGGGGAGGCTCGATGAGTGGATCCCTGAAACTCAATGGCTAACCAGCAGAGCCAAGCCTGCTAGAAACAAGGCAGAGAGCTTCCTAAGAAAAAACATCCAAGGTAGTTCTTGGTCATACGCAGGGGCAGGCATATATATGCACGTGCATGTACCCACACAGACATGCATTTAACACCTTATACGTGCACACATGTAGTTATTTTAAATAAAAACAATTGCCAAGATGTGGTGGCCCATACCTTTAATCCCAGCACTCCGGAGGCAGAAGCAGGCAGATCTCTGTGTTAGAAAGCAGCCTGCCTGATCTACGGAGTGAGTTCCAGGATAGCCAGGGCTGTTGCACAGAGAAACCCTGTCTTGAAAAACCAAAAATATAATTATTATTAATAGTAAAAGAGTGACGCATATCTGTAATCTCATCCCAAGAGGCTGGCCACCTTGTGCTTTGCCTCAGCTACATAAGTGAGACCGTGTCTAAAACAAAACAACAAAAAAAAAAATCAAAGCAACAAAACACCTTCTCATACCAGACTTGAGTGTGCCCAGTGCGAGAGGGCTTGCCTCACATCTTCAAGGACCTGGGTTCAGTTCAATCCATCCAGTTATCTTCCAGATTCTAGCTTGTCTTTTCTTGGAATTAGCATTCTTTCCACTTGGTAGCTGAGGGAACCAAGACCCAGACAGCCCCAGTGACTTGCCTGAAGTCCCAGGATGAAGGTAACACATAATGCATAGCCTGCCTTCACTATGGCTTTCCTTGTGTTCCCCGCCCCCGCCCCAAGCTCTTCCCACTTACCCAGGAGGTTACAGCACAAAAACTCAACTGCTCTGGAAGTAAACTGTTCTAGACTTGCTCATCTTGTGACCAAGTCATTGGTGCATTTCCAAGATGCCCCAAGACAGACCAAG